CCCCCCCCCCCCCCCCCCCCCCAAGATCTAGATGGCCTCCACTCTGTTGTGGTTTGGAAAAACCATGAAGACCTGACTCTTCACTAAGGCTTTCCGTGAGGGAGAGTGTGATTCCTTGCTTCATTCCGATCCAGTCTATTATCCTTGCTATCTTTTATCCTTCTTTCTTTGATAAGTTTTATTTTAGAGCCTTTACTTTGATAGCTGGAGCCACCCAGAGTTGCTGGATGTCGGATTGCATATTAGTTTAATAAATTAAAGTAAGCTATTTCTTGCTTTTTATGGATGGTGCAGTGGGTCAATGGTTAAGACACTGGGCTTGTCGGGTGGAAAGCCGACGGCCCAGGTTCAATCCTTGACCATTGCATGATGGGGGGGAGTGTCCATCTTCACCTAGCTCCTGCCCACCAAGCAGTTTGAAAGCATGCAAATGCAAGTAGATAAGTAGGATGGGGAGGATACAGCACTCCATAAGGTCATGCTGGCCATATGATCACAGAAACATCTTCAGACAGTGCAGGCTTAATGGCCTTGAAACGGAGATGAGCGCTGCCCCCTATAGTTGGCAACAACTACCAGAGTAAAATCCGCGGGGACTCTTTTCCTTCTTTGTCTTTTATACAGCCTCTCCCTCCCCAGTCTTTCTGAATTTATTTTCATATATAAATGAATAAACAAACCATACTATTCTTAAGAATGTTCAACAAGTTAGCCCTACCCTTTAAGAAATTAATCATTTCTTTCATATTAGCTGCTACTTCCTGACTAACCTAATTGATTTCTGAAAATAACTCTTCAATTAATTTCTTGATAAATTTTTAAATTTTCTAAATTTTTGTTACGTGGAGTATTTTTAATTACTATTGTCTAATCTTTTTGTCCCATCTTAGAACAAAATGCGCCACCTGCTGGAGATTCTAAAAGTAGACTTGGGTTGCAACAGGGAGGAAAATTCTGCAGGCGTGTCTGATGCATATGGGCATTTACAGAATGAATCAGCAGAGCACCTTCAACTTACCAGTATATCCGAGAGCAAAGTGTCAAAAAGTGAAGAGCTTTTAAATGCAGCGGATTTAATAACAAGTGACCTCACTGTACACAATGATAAATTCCAGAGAATGGAAGACCAGGATGCAATTTCTCAGGATATCAAGGATTTACTGAACATTGAGCTGAATCCCCCGTCCATGAAAACTGCTGAAACTCCAGATAATACATATCCATTGCCACCAACATGCAATTCAGCCACATGCAATGCTGACTTTGAAACAAGTGAATCTTTGAGAGAAGTTGACGAACTGAAAGAAAGCATGATGGAACCCATCTCTTTGGTCGAGGCCCAGGAGTAAACAACTAGCAGCAAAGCACCAAACAAGGCAGTTCATCTAGTCAGCAGTGCAGAGATCTGAACTTTGAAAATTGAATAAAATGCTAGCAAATCAGCCTCTTAATTTTTTTTTAAATTTGGATGCTACAGCAAATGGGCTTGAAATATTAGAAGTCAGACTTTTTTGAACTGGGCACTGAAACATTGCAAGAAACAATAGACAAAATTGTCATGTGCAATGTTATTAACTGCAGAAAAGACTAGGCATATAGTTTGGGGCATAATGTTTATTTTAAAGGCAGTATATTTATCAAAATACACTTATAATAAATGAATGTAAAATTTGCAGGAGTAAAAACTGTCTGTAAATTAATATGCCTACCCTTCTGAATTCTTTTCCAAATAGATATGCACCCTGATTGAACCATTACTTATATCTGTGCAGACATCTGGTTCAGTTTGCTGTTTAGTGAACCAGGATTGTTTTGTCTGATTTTAATGGAGAAGCATCTTCTGCAATGCAGTATTCAGATGAAGGATTCATCCTTTCATCTTTTAAAGCATGGATCAGTTGACAGGACCTCTTGACTTACTAACAAAGGATGGTTACACAGTCATAGTGTTAACTAGTTGTCTCCTTTTACTTGCAGTTGGAAGGATAAAATGAATTCACTGCTGTTTGCATATTAGTTCTATATCAGGGATGGTTAATATACTGATTACTCAAGCCTTTTAGACCAAGGGTGTCAAACTCAAGTCCCACTTAGATCTGTCCCATGAGGCTGCCCTGGAAACAGCAAAGGACCAACCCATGGTGCCTCTGCCAGTGAAAGCAAAGATCGGGAGGCCTGCATGCAGCTTCCCCCGGGCCCCATTTTCGTTGGCAGAAGGCTGCAAGAGGCTGTCGCGGCTGAAAACAGGGCTGAGAGGTGTGTGCGCACAGCCCCCCCCCCCGGGCTCCATTTTTGCTAGCCAGAGGGCTAGCAAAACAAACAATAAACAAAAGGAGAAATGTTTCCCCTTTTGCATTTGAGCATGCAAGAAGGGACAGGAAAGGAGAAAGCGAAAGAGGGAAGATGGGAAGAGTGCAAGGAAGGAAATATAAGGAAATGAAAAGGAAGAACAAAGGAGAAAAGGAAGATTATAATGAGAGGGAGGGTCAGGGAAGTCCTGCCTTAGCACTTGACCACCACAGGTGCCCCTGACATCGAGTTAGCCATGCCGACCCCGGCCCCCCGAAGTCAAATACAACTCTGATGTGGCCCTCTAGTTTGACATCCCTGCTTTAGACAATAGTCCAAATGCAAGCAGTGTGTTTCATTGTGTAATTGTCAACCCTCTCAAAGTAGAGTCCATAATAAAGTTCCCATTACACAAAATGGGGCGTGAAGACCTTGAGAACTCCAGTTAGATTTTAATTTCCACTCACTCTTAGGAAGAGAGATTTCACAACCAGACAAAAGCAGAATCACACGTGTATCTATGTACATGCATGCAACACTGATATATGAATAAAAGGAACAGAGCTTCTATCACAATAGTGTGATGCTTTTGATAGACTAATCAATTTGATACTTCCCTATGGGTGCTGCTGAATGACAGCCTGGGTGGTAAGGGGTCTATTTGAAGGTGGGATGCAAAGAGTCACATTTTGTTCCTGCTTCTCTTGGTCTTGTGGCAAAGAACTGCCATAGCAACTATTCTTTTTCTAGAAAGCATCCAGAAATGACGCGGTATGTCTAGTACCCTTTGTTGTATGAATTATGAAACTAGTGTCCACCTACTGATAGCACAAGAAAATAATTATGTTTACCCTCCTTTCAGTCAAAAGCTGTATAGATTTTTTTTTAATGTAGTTTACCCACAGATTGACAAATTAAGGAACATGACTGCAAAGCAACTGGAAATAAAACAGAAAATGGTAATATGATTTTCTAAAGTTGGTAGATTTCTTACCCAAACCTAGCTTAAATGGAAATTTTAGGGGGGGAAAGACATTAAAGCTTGTCTCTTGGCAAAGGAGCTTAAATGGCCTGTGTCTTTTCTCTTACATCTGCAGCTTGATGTACTGGGCATAGCTAGCTGGTTTTGGGTGAAAAAGAGGTTGAGTTAAGGGTAAGTAAATAATCTGACCATATTGAACCTAGCTGGTATTTATATCAGACTCAGACATATGAATATGCTGAGTTGACAAATTTTAAGTCTATAAATCTTGTATTTAGAAATATACTATTTGGAAAGTAGCTGTTTTCTCAAATGAACTTCAAAGTGCTAAATTTACTGGAGGAACATATACCCACTTTAGAACTATTTATTTTATTTTTATTTATTTATTTTTGTCAAATGCTTGCAAGATAATAGGTATAAGTATATACATAGTTATGAATACATGAAATGGGTACATATAAGAAAAATAAAAGAAACAATAGGACAGGCACGGTAGGCATGTTGGTGCGCTTATGCACACCCCCTACAGACCTCTTAGGAAAGGGGTGAGGTCAATAGTAGACAGTCTAAGGTTAAAGTTTTTGGGGTTTGGGGAAGAAACCACAGAGTCAGGTAGAGTATTCCAGACATTGACCACTCTGTTGCTGAAGTCGTATTTCCTGCAATCAAGTTTGGTGCGGTTAACCTTGAGTTTGTATCTATTGTGTGCTCTTGTGTTGTTATGTTTGAAGCTGAAGTATTCATTGACAGGTAAGTCATTGCAATGTATGATTTTATATACCATACTTAGATCAGACCAAAGACAGCGTAATTCAAGGTTTTCTAGGTCTAGAATTTCAAGTCTGTTGGCATAAGGTATTCTACAACGAGTAGAGGAGTGGAGAACTCTTCTTGTGAAATATTTCTGGACTTTCTCAATCGTGCTAATATCAGATACGTAATGTGGGTTCCAGACTGATGAGCTGTATTCGAGTATTGGTCTAGCAAATGTTTTGTATGCTCCAGTTAGTAGTGTGATATTACCAGAGAAAAAGCTACGTAGGATTAGGTTAACAACTCTGAATGCCTTTTTGGCTATGTAGTTACAGTGGGCTCTAGCACTTAGATCATTAGAGATGAGTATTCCAAGGTCCTTTACAGAGCTTGGATCATCAACAAGGTCTTGACTATTCAGCTTGTATTTTATTTTCTGATTTTTTTGCCAATATACAAGACAGAGCATTTATTTGTTGAGATTTGAAGTTGCCATTTGTTTGACCATTCTGATACATAGTCAAGATCTTTTTGAAGGGTAGCAGCATTGTCTGTGGTATTGAACAGCTTTACATCATCAGCGAAGAGAACGCAGTTGCTCTTAATATGATCACAGAGGTCATTTATGTAAAGTATGAAGAGAGTTGGCCCTAGAACACTGCCTTGGGGGACACCACTATTGACAGGTACAGAATTTGATAGGACAGTCCCAATTTTGACCATTTGTTGTCTGTTTAACAGGAATGCTTCTATCCAGTTATGCAGTTGTCCAGAGATACCATAGGATTTTAGTTTTAGGAATAGTTTGTCATGTACCACTGAATCAAAGGCTTTACAGAAATCTATGTAGTAATAATTATTAAATAATTATGTAATAATTGTCTCAACTGAAGGACTCCAAAAATAATCATTAACAATTAATCATCTCAACTGAAAAAATCCAAAAATAATAGTCATTAACAAGCTGTTTGGCATTCCTTCCCCCCCTTAAAAAAAAAACTTCCCCAGTTGCTTTGTTCATTAAATGCAGATACTTTGAAAATATATAGCACTGTAAATAACACCAGGTAAATAGTAAATAACTATGTAAACTAAGTAAATAACTATGAGATGTGTTGGTTTAAATTTGGTGTTTGACACTCAAAGGGACAAGTAGTTTGGAAGTTGCAACTTATTCAAAAATGGAAGTGTTGGGGTGCTTTGAGTTATAAATTGGTTTGCTGAGAAATTGTTTTCCTATCTCAAATGAAGGGAGGACTGCATGATCTCAGTCCCAGGGAAGGAGGAGTAAATTTTTAATAAGAAATTAAATGAAACAAACAAAACATGCTTAGAATCATTATCCTGTCCAGCTGATGATAGTTTGAAAATCCCTCTATGGGGGGGGGGGGTGTTAGCCACAATTTTAGAAAGCTTTAAAACAGGAACAATTGGGAGCAGCAGGTGCTCTTTCATCATAAATATGCTCTAAACTATCCACCTTATTTAAACGGCTCTGCTTATTTGTCATTTCTCAAAATAAAAGACAAATGAGTGTACCTGTGAATCGGGATTCTGCTCTGTAAGGTAAGCAAATTCTCTGGTGACAATCTACCCCCTCCAACCCCCAAGCTGTTATTGCAAAGAATTTAGTCCCAACATTTCTCACTTGGTTGACTGCGAGTAGTTGGATTTTGAATAATTAAAGGAAACTCTCAATGTCTACCAATCCTGACTGAAGCAGGGCCAGCAATTTAGAGGTTTCAGTTGGTGGTATTTCCATATTCTACCTAGATTGTCTTCATGACAACATGTTTTATTGAGTCTTGATGACTCATAATTTGTTTTTTTAGTATGAGAATGTAAGGGTCGGTTGAATATCTTGAAGATCATTTAGTTGCATGTGGCACTGAACAACTAGTATCCAGCTCCTCCCAAAATAAAGGAAGTTCATTATATGTTGGATATATTTTATAGTCAATCCAACACAATTCTTCACTCAATGCAGCCCAGGCAAAGCCAAAAGGTTGGACATGCCTGATGTAATCTAATCGGCTCAGTACAGAAATCTATTACCACAGCATCTAGCAGGAGTACCTTCTGAAGTACTCTACTCCATTGCTAAATTGTTCTTAACATTTGGAAAAATTTCCTGATGTTCAGCGCTCTCCCTGTCCTTTCTTTTCCAGTCTAAGCATACCTAGTACCTTCAACAGTTCGTCACACATTTTCTTCCAGGATATATTCCAGTCTTCCAGTTTCTTCCCAATGTAGTGTCAAGCACTGTATATAATTTTCTAATACTTAATTAATTGCTTGTATCACAGATTTTCCTCTTGGAAACTCAAAGCAATTTATATTCTTTCCAAAATAATTCTTGCACAAAAACTTTGTGACAAAGATGCCACAAAAAACTGGGCACCCTATTGAGCTTCACAGTTCAGTGGGGACTTGAATCCAATCTCTTTATTAATCCCAACAATTTGGCTCCTGCAACACTCATGGATGAACTTGGCAGAGTATCCAATTTATGTTTTAAAGTTAGAAATTGTCAAAATCTTGCAAGGCTTCAACATTCTTGCATAGGGTTTTACATAATACCAAGTAATAACCTTAACTTTGTAAAATATTAACGTTTTAATTTTTTTTACAAAAATGTATTTTAGTCTCCAAAATGAATGAACATTTCTGTTTTAAGCTTTACAGCATTGTTAATCTCCACCAAAGGAAGCTATTTGCAACTTTTATTTGCCCAATCTCTTTATTTCTTGTGTTCAAACAGAACTGATCTTAAGCTCCATACCAGCACAAAGTTCCTGGAAATAACAGTTTTCTTCAGTCTTTGCCAATATTAAAGGATATTACTTCTGTAGTATCAATGCCTGCAACTAAATAATCTCAAATGTTGTGCAATACACCATTGGATATTGTTATAATAAATTATTCTATGCAACATATTTGAAGGTATCCTGTTTTGGATTATGAAATGGATTGAGTTTTATATTGTATTCAGTATTATTATTTCTACTTATGTCCAAAAGATCAGTATTCAATAAAGTTATGAAACAACTCAGGTTTGAAGCGCTTCGAATATTTATTTTCATGGCAAAAATAGACTATAATATAATTCATTTCACATATATTACATATCAAAGAAAAACAACCCTTTCTATCAAATATAATCTGCACATTGTTTTAAAAACCCATCTCAATTGTACATGATTTAAAGCTGCAGCAATTATACATTTTTACACTTGATAGAGACAAAGCAGATCTTATGTGTAAAAAACACTTTAGCTTGACATTAAAAAATAATACTTCAATTTTGAGACGTGCTATTCAATCCTTGTATACTGGCGTAAAAAAGAGGAGAAATTGTGTAAAAACCACTGTCTTTTCTTTGCATAGATTTAATTGCTTAAGGCTAGTGGGATGTTGAGGCATCTATTTCAAGATGCAACATGATGCAATATTGCTACTTTTATCCAAAACTAACTTCAAGCTCTACATCTTCATTCGTTAGAAGAGTAGCATGGGAGCTGTTTTCTTGGATTTCAACCCAGGTCTCTGGTACAGCAGGACATGAATGATGTTCATGATGTACTGCAATTTTTTTCCCCAAACAAGTGCTGTTCAGTCCCTTGGAAGGACTCTACTGGCATGGGAATGTGCAGTACTCTTCATTTAGATTTAATTTTTTTAAAACCTGCCTTTACTATTTTTATAAATAAGACAGAACATACATAACACTTCTTCCTCCTCTTATTTTTCCCACAACAACCACCCTGTGAAGTGGGTTGGACTGAGAGAATGACTGGGCCAAAGTCACCCAGCCAACTTTCATGACTAAGGCAGAGCTAGAACTCAAAGTCTCTTGGCTTCTAACCTGTGTCTTAACCACTAGGCCAAACTGGCTCTCATTCATCTTGCCCGAGTAGTTTCTTGGCAGAAAGCCCAGAACTGAATAATTCAAAATAAATTCCATACCACTGTAGTGGTATGAATTCAAATTGTCTTACAGTAATTCAACAAATGAGGTCGGACATGTTTTGGGTCCATGGTGAATACAAGAAAACAGCATTACAAAGAAAGTTTGACATTGTTGATTTTATGTATTTTGTCTGTAAAAAAAATTATGACCAGGTTTGGTTATTTTTGTAGCTTTTATGAAGATTTAACAGGAACATATTTTAGCGAACCTAACTGCTCATTTTTATTCTGGAACCTGGAAGTTAATTTTAGATTGTTTCAAACTCCATATGTTTAAAGGTGATTCTAATAAAATAAAATGGCACATAACTTCCCTCAATATATATTTAGGCATAATTTCTTCTCAATCTGTGCTCAAAAAATGAGGACAAAATATAGTGGAATTTTAAAAAGACATGCATTATAATACTATAAAACTATGTGGTTTGTTTCATCTATATTAAAGCAAATGATATTTTATTTAGCACCTCTGAAGAAAAAAAAATCAGTGGCACTGGCTTCTTTGCATAACACAGCATCATGTCAACAGTGATTTTGGCCAAACAACATACTAGTTCATTTAGTAGTTTGTTCAAAACATAAAATGCAGTTTAAAGAAAATTATGCCCAAAGGATACATTCAAAATAGAGCAACAACTGAGTTGGAAAGAAGCTGATAGCCCAAAAAGACAAGTGCAAGGCAAAGAAACTGGTCCCTACAGTATGTAGCAACAAGATCCTCAACTCAGATAGCATTCTTCTCTCTTTCCAGTCTTTTACATTCTTCAAAATATTTCCCCTCCTACTCATAATGTTAGAGTTTATCTGCAGTAATTTGATCTACAAATTACATTTTTCAGATTAGGAAGGAAAAGAGTAGGCTTCACAAAGAAAGGAGTAACCCCCCATAGTTCCCTGGATTGTACCTAGATTGGACAGTACAATATTGTGCCACTGAGATTTTTTTTCACATCTCCTTCACTGCACTGGAATAGGTCATCTAAGATGTTTCCTTGTAAGTGTCATAGCTTATAAATCTGATCTTGAACTTAGCTTTAAGAACTACAAGCCACATACAATCACAGATAGCATGGCAACCATATAAATCACGTTGCTTGCAACAGTCTATCACTGTTCACATGAAAGTTAGCAAATGTATATAATTTAGATATTTAGAGGATGACTTCACTTTGCAGTTCATTTTGCTCTGTAGTGCATGCTAATTAAGGCCATTCAAGCGCAGAACAGAGAACTCATTTTATTCTTTCTTGCACCCCACCCCTACCAAGTATAACTGTTAGAAGATATCCCACCAGAGAAACAGGCGAGCGGAATCCTTGAGCTCTGACTTCATAAATAGGTTCATCCATAATATTAATTTCCCACTTCAACCTTTCTACCTTGTGCTGCGCAAGCCAGGCCCAAATAAACAGCAGTTTCATTATACAGAAAACTTTACATTGAACATTTTTTTCACAGAACGTCAGAGAGCCAAAAGATAGAATTTAACCAAGACTTCAAAATTAAAATTTGAATTTTCAAAAACTATTTGGAACACACCTTTATGGACTTGGACTACCATACTGCATTTCAAAAGTTAAAGTGAATGCTTTAGGAACATCATCTTGCAAATTATTGTACAGTATTGTAGATACCAACACTTCCAAATGTATCTTCAGCCCGCCCTAATGCATAGCTCCATCCCACCATCAAAAGTTCATGCCAGATATCTTAACTTTCCTGAAAAGCTCTTTTGAAGAAGGTAGTGTTTTCAAAATGAAATGCTGGTTCAAGGAAGATAGGCAAAAGCCAACATCTTCAATGGATTGTTTTCAAAAACTGCTACTATCACCTTGTAAAAATTGCATGGAAAACCAGTTCATATACACAGCTCCCAGGTGGTAAAAAAACCAGGAACATCGAGATTGCACACTGGATATTAGTATCATTAGTATCAACCCATCTGATTATTCTGTTTGTTCTTTTTGCCATAAAGATCAATCAAATAATCTAAGCATCTCAGAAACACCTTTTGGCATCTCAGCCAGAGAATGTATAATGCATTCTTGTAAACTAAAGTTTACAAGAAATATTCCTTAGAGTCTGCACCACAAACACAGATCAGTTTGACTTCTGGCTTAATAAAATATAATACTCTCAAAAGGACACATAGTACTGCTTTGAAGAAATAGCTCCCATGTTGTTTGAAGTATCATACTATGCTTACTGTGTTGTACAGCTGCCTGAAGCATTCATGCACCATCCAACTTTCCCTCCCTTCCATTCTCTTTGGTACAATTATACAGCCTAGTGGAAAATACATAACTCTTTTGCTTTTCACATGAACACATTTCTCCTTTAAGAAGCATGCAGACTTTTTAATGTTAGCATAATGTTATTGGAGAGGCTGCTTTGGAGATATTATACAGAGGAAAAGAGAAATAAATTTGGTGACTAAAAAACATTCATCCTTTTTCTTTTCTTTTTTACTTTCTTGATAGGGAATTATTAACAAAGGTAATTTTACTGCCACTTTGCTAAATTATGCAGCCCAATAACCACATTCCACATTAAGTCAAATTCTTTTGTACTCACTCCACATTCAATACCTTTTTCTAAAATGAAATTTGCAGGCTAAGCAGATAAACATACAATTTCTCTAGATAAAATATTTAAACCAGTGTTTAAATATTCATCTGTATTCAGCTTGATTTCAATCAGAAGTAACAAGCTGTTCCTTAAAGAAATCATTCTGGAGCTACACTTCATTAATTATTACTTTCTGAAGTTTTGAGGAACTACACACGATTTCCTAGGATAACCTTTTTCTTTTATTGTACTTTTTGACATAGAATGTGACCCAACTATAATTTCCTTACAGCAGCAGCTGTAAAGTTTGTCCTCGCTTTTACCATCTTATTTTCTTTCTCTTCCCTTCAAAGATTTGCCAACTATTTGTTTAATGTACCACAAATGTTACCACCTGTTACCATCTTCCATTTAACTCTTTTCCTGTTACAAATCGTAAGCCAAATACTGTTCTTTTATTGCATGCTGTCTGTAGCCTGCAGTTTCTAGAGTAGTGCCCCACTTCTGGCAAAAAAATAACAATACACTCTCTATCTTAAGTGCTTCCTTTAATGGCTTGTTGGTGATGCTGGTTGCAATATAAAAATCAACACACACATACACACACAAACATTCACAGAGATTGAAATAAAAAACTCAAGCACAATGATGCCATTTATCACTACTGTATATGCAGGGCACACATCTTTCACCACAGTCTATCTACAAGTATACATCAGTATAGCTTTCCATTCATAATGACATAACCATAGTGATTTTCAGTACGGCGCAGTAATGTCTTCCTAGGATCAGCAGTTGTATGCTTACCATGAACACAGTTTCATCGGAAGAACCCAATGAATCATTCCCATTTCAAACCACTGCCCCCCAACACACACACATTCCTTTCAGCTTCAACATGAACTCTGCTAAAGCAATGTCCAGTTGCATACAGAATTTTTAAACTTCATGTAATCCTGGGAGGCAAACGTCTGCTTTTGTAAACTCTTGAAAAGAAGGAGACTTTTGAAGCTTGAATGAAGAAACCTTATATAAGCCTTGAACTCTTAAGAAACTGGATGAGAACTCCATAGACAAATGTGTATTGGCTTAGGGTTTGCACCATCATCATCCTTTGCTGCCTCAGCATTTCTAGCATTCTTGGGATATCCAGTGCCTAAAAGAAACATACACATAAGTTGGGACATTATTTAAGTGTGTGATAATAAGCCACAACTGATGTAATAATCTGGGAAGAACAGGAGGACGAGATTCAGTTTCACAATGATCAGACAAAAAACATATCAGCCTACAGAAGGAATGATGATGGAGGAAGCATCTCTGAAGGGTCCCTCCCTAGTTCTCAGAAAAGGAAAGGGAATGGAAGGGAAAAGTACTTTCAGACTTGCAGGATTCTGCTTCTGTGACAATATAACAAAGGCAATGTTAGAATGGAATGGAATGGAATGGAATGGAATGGAATAGAATAGAATAGAATAGAATAACAGAGTTGGAAAGGGCCTTAGAGGTCTTCTAGTCCAACCTCCTGCTTAGGCAGGAAACCCTGCACCACTTCAGACAAATGGTTATCCAACATCTTTTTAAAAACTTCCAGTGTTGGAGCATTCACAACTTCTGGAGGCAAGTTGTCCCACTGATTAATTGTTCTAACTGTCAGGAAATTTCTCCTTAGTTCTAAATTGCTTCTCTCCTTGATTAGTTTCCGCCCATTGCTTCTTGTCCTGCCCTCAGGTGCTTTGGAGAATAGCTTGACTCCCTCTTCTTTGTGGCAGTCCCTGAGATATTGGAAGACTGCTTTCATGTCACCCCTAGTCCTTCTTTTCATTAAATTAGACATACCCAATTCCAGTAACCGTTTTTTATATGTTTTAGCCTCCACATCCCTTAATCATCTTTGTTGCTCTTCTCAGCACTCTTTCTAGAGTCTCAACATCTTTTTTGCATCGTGGCAACCAAAATTGAATGCAGTATCCCAAGTGTGGCCTTAGGTATTAACACTTCATGTGACCTTGATTCTATCCCTCTGTTTATGCAGCTGAGAACTGTGTTGGCTTTTTTGGCAGCTGCTGCACACTGCTGGCTCATGTTAGCATTTGTGGTTTTGGTTTTTTTGTCTGGATTACATAGACACTTGTATAACAAGTCTTTAAATATCGGTAAAGAAACAGAAGAGGAAGGAAATGAGATGATATTCTTTTTAGGTGCTGCTCTGACAAGGTTATTTAGGAATATCTTCTTGGAGAAAACAGGCCGGATAGTGACATATCGGGATGATTTTTGCCTTTGCGGAGGTGGGATGGGCATGGTCTGTGTGGGCCGTATCCGGCTTATGGGCCACCAGTTTGAAAGGCCTGTGCTAGTTTTTGTGGATTTTGGTTTGAGTAGGTTTTAGATCCCTAATTTTGTACTTTCCAATCTAACATTGAGACAAGCACATTACTGTTTGTCCAGTAGTTACTTTAATCATGAAAGAAGGTTGGCGCATTGTGAGGATCATTACTGAACATGAAATAATCTTTCGTGGGCTTTCTCAATAGGTATCCCCTCAAGGATATTCCCATTTACTCCCATAATTCCTAGTTTAAAAATTAAGGAATTACCTCATTATGCTCCAAACAGGCAATCATGATCTCTGATAGGATGACCACTCCAGTTCTTCCTACACCAGCACTGCAGTGCACCAGTAGAGGGGGATTGGGAATTGCAGGGTCTGCGGTACTGTTGGTATGACGCCGTACTGACTGTATCTCTTCCAAGTATGCTATCAGATCCAGAGGAAAAGAAGAAAGGGAAAAATATTTAAATTAGATATCACTGATATATTTTTTTGGTCTTTGTAGTAAGAAAAATGTATATCCTAATTCCAACTATGTATTGAACTATTCAACTTTTGAGTTCAGAAATTAAACAAAACTGAGCTTTGTATTTGGATAAGATCTTTAAAAAATATTACGGCTGTAGGTCTGGATAAGATGATGCAAAACATCCTGGAAAAAGATACTTCAAACCACTTCTCTATTGCAACCAATAAAACTGCAAAAATGTATCCATCAAAACATTTACAGCTGACTTTGATTCAAGGGAGAATTTAGCAGTGCCGCACGCTAACACTGACCTGGAATATATATCTACATGTAAACTTCATGTTATGACTGTGATTGAGCCCTTTGAATGATCTGCTGTAGGTCAGGCTGGTCGTTCAACAGGTCATCACATGACAGACCCTTTTTGATGACATTCTTTGTAGTGGCCATTAAGCAATTTCTGCAATGGTGTTTTTGTTTTTTGCCAGAAACCAGAAGCTACTGCAGGTTTCTAGCAAAATAGTAATAAATCAGTCACCTGATTGCAGATGCTGCAAATAGAAGTAAATGCGAACTGACTGCTGAACACCACAAAATGTGATCCTGTGACCATGAGGGGAGGATATCAGAACTTTCAGATTGCAAGTACCACCCACATATGTCTGCTGGAACTTTGAATGGTTACTAAGTGACCAGTCATAAGTCAAGGACTATCTGTATTCAGCACAATGTTACATACAAATAAAGTCTGTTTAAATATCTTGCCTTCTAATTAGGAATTTAAATAACTTATAATTAACTTTATTCAATGAAATATTGATATATTTCAGTACATTTCAGCTTTGCTTGCTCTCCACAACCTTCCCTTCTGAAATGAGATGAATTTACTTGTGGTCTCCTTAACAACAATTTCTAATGTTCTCTTGGGTGACAGCTGTGATTAAAATCTAATGACCTTATTTTTTAAAAAATGAGTAAATTACTAAAGTTCCTAACAGAACAAAACAGCAGAAATGAAAACAAAAGTGTGCTCAGTTATCCTTATGGCAATGTGGGAGGAAGAGAGAGTAACATACAAACGCATAATGATTCTTTCATATTGCAATAAACTCCATCTTAGCTCAGAGCCTAAACAACTATTGATGGTGTCCACATATCACATAAATTGCATTCTTTTTCTCCCTCTCCCCCCCCCCCCCCCATACAAAGAGGTTGAAATCTTGTAAAAACATTAAACCTTAAAAGATTTCAGTATTTTTACAATGTATTTCAGGGCTGATTTGGCCAACATTTGGTAATGTTGGGATAGGCTAACCTTAAAATTGCACACAACAGCGCTCAGATCACCATGCACCTAGTGGAAGGTGTGCATTTAGACTTCATACATAGCCTGGGGAGCCATAGATGTAAGGCAAAACTTAGCTACTATTTAGTTTCAGCTGGTTTCCTATGTCATATGCTTTTACATAATAGAAATAAGAAATAAAGGGAAAGGAAGGGAAAGGGAAAGGATGGGAAAGGAAGGGAAAGGAAGGGAAAGGAAAGGAAAGGAAGGGAAAGGGAAAGGGAAAGGGAAAGGAAAGGAAAGGAAAGGAAAGGAAAGGAAAGGAAAGGAAAGG